ACCTTTTCACTATTAATTTAATGAAGAAGAGTTCTTCAAGAATACTTCCGACGATCTTTGTGATGTTGAAACCTTTTTTAAACGTTTACCGTTGTTTAATTCTTGCATTGTTTCGTGCAATACTTTGTGTGTTTATTAAAGTTTGATTTTATATCGGTATTTGTCATTTTAGTGAAAATTAAAATAATTATTCTTTTGTTTTATAAGTTGGACAAACTGGACCCAGTGAGGTATTCGCTTAAGAGTTTGCACCGGATACCTACTATTATTTTATGTACATAAAGAGCTAGATATATATTAATTGATATACGAGAGTTCAAGATATTTTTTATTTCGGAAAATTATACCGAGACATTTACTTTTGCTTTAATATAATATTACAACTATTGTTTTTTTAATTTTCTAATTTATTTACCATATACATTAAGGATGTGTTTATATGCAACACATAAATGCATAATTGCAATTTTGAATACATCAACATATATGCATACTATACCATACATTGGTATATAGATATCGGTTGCAAATTTATTCGCATGTGTTTGCCAATTTGCTAAAATATGATTTGTGAAATTCCACTGCAGACGAATTTCCAAGAATGTCAACCGGCCGAGCAGAATCTTTTATGCTGTATATATTATACAAACAGCTGTCAATTATTAACTGGTCTTTAACATCGATACCCATCCAAAATGGGGGAAAAGAAAAGCTAAATTTGCATTATTCGATGACATCCATTCAACTGGTGTTATAAACAAATGCACAGAGTTGGTTATATACAATAAGGGAAATATATTAACATACATATGTATGTGGGATATGCATGGCAGTTTACTAGAAGCGTTGAACGAATGATTTGTAAAATAAAAAAGTTTACAAATATGCAAATTTTAAGAATAAACTGAACTCATTGAAATAACAAATTAGCCACTGATAAATATCGGAAGTGAACATAAAATTTATTCAAGTCAATAGTGACCTTAACTCTCCGTGAATTTGTAATAAAATTAAAAAATTTAA